AAAAAAGACAACCGTGACATTAGCAGAGCTGCAAGGAACAGCAGCAGCAACAGAACTAGAAGCCAGAGCAGGAGCCAGAGGGTGGGCTTCCCAACCCACAGAGCAAATAGGGCTGAGTGCATTGGGGTGAAGTGGGGTGCTTCAGGGCACTTAATTCAGGGACCTGGGTTCACTGACCCACGGAGCTGAAGCTGAGTGCTGTTGGGTTGAAGCTTTTGGATTGACCTGAACGGCATACCCTTTGGCCACTTATCATTGGCCCTGAAAGAACTGTGTACCACGTCCTGACTGAACAACTATATCCCGAGCATTTCTCCTTGCATGGTGGCCGGCTAAACTCCCTTCAATAAACCCCTTCACATTGTGAGTTCTGTGTGGCCATTACAAAGATGATCGAACTCAGTAGCTGAAAAGTAAAGAGTGCTATCTATGGGAGACAGCAAAATAAAAAAGAGTGTTGCAAATGACAACAGACAGATACCTTGGGACGCAGGAGAAGGGCTGGCACAGGTGGGGTCCTGACCATAGCTGGAAGGGACCAGAGTCCTGAGGCGTAAGGGTCGAGGCATCTTCCAGCATCTTCAAGATCTAACTTTTTCTCATGATTTCTACCCATCGAATGTCCGTGAATCTCCGAACGTCGTGTGTGTGTGTGTGTGTGTGTGTGTGTGTGTGTGTGTGTGTGTGTGTAATTGGAGTGGAACACTTCTTGGCCTGGAATTGGGCCCATTAGGTGGTAGTTCCAGAAACTCACCTTAACTGGCTTCCCATTCTTGGCAGTACACAGGCAGGGCTGGGGCTGGGGCTGGGGCTGAGCCATGCAACTGAAAGATGGAGTGTTGGGTCTAAGACTCTAGACCGGTGGTTCTCAACCTTCCTAATGCCATGACCCTTTAATGTATTCCTCATGTTGTGGTGATCCCCCAACTATAAAATTATTTTTGGTGCTACTTCATAACTATAATTTTGCTACAGTTATGAATCTGGCAACCCCAATGAAAGGCTCATTTGACCTCCAAAGGGGTCTCAACCCACAGGTTGAGAACCGCTTCTCTAGACCTTTAGAAGCAGAACACCCAGATTCCAGGTGAGCCTGGGTTAGTTATTTTCTCTATGACCTCTTCTCCCAATGACCTCTTCTCCCACAATCTCAGTGACCTCATCTATACTTTTGAGGTTAATGAGGTCAAATGAGAAACCAGATCCCAAGCCAAGAGTCAGTGTGCTAGCTAGTTTTATGTGTCCACATGATGAGGCTATAAAGACAAAAATCAAACTCCCTGTTATTGAGTTGATTGTGACACTTAGCAGCCCTAAAGGGCAGCAGAGAATTGCCCCTGTGTGTAATTACCCCTATGGGGGCAATTCTCTGCTGCCCTTTAGGGCTGCTAAGTGTCACAATCTTGAGGGAAGCCAGTTGCCATATTATTCATCACGGAGCAGCTGGTGGATTTGAATCATCAGCCACTTGATCAGCAGCAAGGGTTTCCACCCCTGCACCCGCAAGGCTCCTAACCCACTCCTTTCCAATGAGTTGATTATGACTCACAATACCCCTATAGGGCAGAGTAGAACTTCTCCCAGGGTTTCTAAGACTGTAAATCTTTGAGAGCACACAGCCTCATCTTTCTCCCACAGAGCTGCTAGGGGATTAGAACTATTGATTTTACAGTTAACAGCCCAACCTAACACCCAGTTTTTCAACAAGCACAAATATAGGTACTGTTGTGAATATATTTTATAGATGTAGTTACTATCTATAATTAATTGACTTTAAATGAAGGAAAATATCCTCGCTAATCTTGATAATGGTCTTCAGCCGATAAGTTGGAAGATCTTAAAAATGGAACGAAGGTTTCCCCAAGAAGAAGACATTTTGCCCACTGGCCTGTGGCCTGGATGGGCAGTGTACAGGCCAGGCGGGGTGTTGGGCCATGCTGTTGAAAGATGGTGGGATGCTGTGTCTGAGACTCTAGATCAGTGGTTCTCAACCTTCCTAATACAATTCCTCATGTTGTGGTGACCCCAAACCATAAAATTATTTTCTTTGCTACTTCATAACTGTAATTTTGCTGCTGTTATGAATCTGGCAACCCCTGTGAAAGGGTCGTTTGACCCCCAAAGGGGTTGTGACCCACAGGTTGAGAACCGCTGCTCTAGACCCTTAGAAGCAGGACACCCAGATTCCAATTGAGCCCATAAGTATGGAAGCTTATCCTTGATCTAAGACACACAAATATATATCGCAGCTCTGTGAGAGAAAGATGTGCCAGTCAGCTTCCGTAAAGATTACAGCCTTGGGAACCCGCTGGGGCAGTTCCACTCAGTCTTATAGAGGGGCTATGAGTTGCAATCAACTCAATGGCAGTGGGATTTATATAAACTCTTACTGCCATTGAGGGTAGCGTGGTATTGTGGGTTTCCGAGACTATAAACCTCTCTGGGAGTAGAAAGCCTCATCCTTTTCATATGGACCAGTTGGTGGTCTTGAACTGCTGACCTTGTGGTTAGCAGCCTAATGAGTAACCTGCTGTGCCAGGAAAGTTACTCTGAGTCTTATGTACATATTAAAAAACAAACAAACTCTCTGCCATCGGGTCGATTCCAACTCACAGCAACCTTACATAGGGTTCTTGAGACTGAAAATCTTTATGGAAGCAGTCTCATCTTTCTCCCTTGGAACAGCTGGTAGGTTTGACCTGCCTACCTTGTAGTCAGCAGACTAATGCCTAACCTACAGCACTACCAGGCCTCTGTATGTACATACATACAGATGGGGAGATATATATATATATACACACACATACACACACACATACACACACACATACACACACACACACATATATATACACATATACATGTGTATGTGTTGTGTAGGACCCTGATCTAGCCAATGTGCTGGATTTGGCTAGACAGAGCCCCCCATCTTTGGCCCTGCTCCAGTCCATGGCGTGCTCAGCAGGCCAGGAGGGCTGTGTTCCCTGCAGCCCATAGAGGCTGTAAGAGCCCCTGCCTGCCTTCAGTTCCCTCCTGAAGGGTTCTCTTTCTCCTCCACCAGTGCCTTCATCTATTGCTTTCTCTCTCCCCATGACATCTCTAGCATCATCCACTACTTGATCTAGGGCTGTCCAATAGAACTTTCTACTAAGTATGGAACTATTTTAAAATGTCATTTATGTTATCCAGTGGATAGCCACTAGGCATGTGTGGCTTTTAAGCACTTAACCTATGGATCAAGGAGCCCAAGGAAATGGATTTTAATTTTCATTCATGTCAAAATTAAATAAGCTACAAAGCCATATATGGCTAAGGGGCTATCATATTGGGCAGGATGGAACTAGGCAGAGCTGCCCTGTCCTTGTTTCTTGTCTACCCTGAGTTAAAAGAGGTAGCACTTAATGAGCACTTACTACACATCAAGCTTTGTCGACCTGTCATAACTAACTCTAGGAAGCCCACTTCAGAAATGAAGGACCCCTGGCTCAGGGACAGTCCTCTGCTTTGAAGAATCCTTCTGGTTTTAAAACAAGGAAACAAAAAATAGCATGGCGATAGCTACCTTTTATTCAGCACCTACTTAGTGCCAGGCACTTTACAGACATCTGTGCTTTCAGTTCTTACAACACGGGAGGTAGGAGTTATTATCATCCCTTCAGGGATGAGGAAACCGAGGCTCAGAGAGGCTAAGCAGCTTATTCAAGGATGCACAGCTGGTAGAGGAGTGGTATAATACGCACTCAAGGCGGGCATCCTTGAGTGCTTCAAAACTTCCATCAGGCAGGCATTTTCCACACTGGAAACAATAGGCAGCTTGTAGGGGTGGGTGAGTGACACATACTTCAGGAGGTGGGGGCTGTCCTGCTGTCAGACTGTTGAGAGGTGCTACATCTCACGGGGTCCCACCTTCTCCCTCAGGTCATTTCTTCTTCACATCCAGCAAAGTCAGGAAAAACCCAACAATCCTTACTGAGGTCGTTCCTTTTAAAAACAGAAAGTGGCTGAGATGAGATCCGCACCCTGCATGTGGGTGGGGTACAGACAGCTAGGGACTGCAGCACACTGCCACCAGAATGAGCGCCTCCTTCCCTGCTGGGCACGCCCCTGGCACCAGGACAGAGCCAGAGGCAGCTTTGGAATCTT